ATCAGTCTCCTCATCACTAGTGTTAGGTTCATCGGTTTGCTGATGAGCTTCACCAACTTCTTCCTCTTCTCCTTGGATGTCGTCTTCTTCCTCGACCTCATCCCTGTCAGAATCTACGCTCCGCTCCATGGATTCAATGTCTTCATCATGGACGTCAGAACCTTGAGTCTCAGGTTCTTCTAGTGGTTCTTTTCCAGGGCGCCTAAGGGAGCTCTCGGCATCTCCGCACTTTTAATACTTATTTTACCGATGTTAGAACTGTACTTGTCGATGAGAATTTCTAAGTCACCTTGATCGAAAATACTGACAAACTCAACTTCAATAATATCAATGTCTTCTAAAATATAAGTACTAACACACCGAGAGGACTTTTCAGCTTCCTTCTCTGGCGCTGAGGACAAGTGCATAAACGGGTCAGCCACAATGGCTTTACCCGTAACATAGTTCTTCACAGACTCAGGCATAATTAACTAAAAACAAACAAACACCACAAAATCCACTATATACGCATACGATGCACACAAGAAAATCAAAAGTAAATAGAGGAGGCAAAAGTTCAAATTTTTTACCTCTGAACAAGAGCAAATCAGGCCACCAAATGACCAGAGTGTGGAAATTGTCACCGCTTCTGCAAAATCAAGAGTAAAATCCTTTGTTGCAAAATTGAGAAAGACGAAGAATCGCACTGGGAAATTTCTCTTCGAAAATAATTTTTTGAAAATCTAAGTTCAAACTGATGAAAAACTGTTCGTTTTCTCTTTTTTATACCCAGTGAACAGTGAATTTTGATTTAACATGTGCTGCATGAAATCCAACGGTTGAAAGTGTGACACACCCTTACTTGCTTCGCCAGGTTCACAACACGTGTCCTACTACTCTCTAGTATTTTCCCGCCCATATCCCGTTGTATTCAATTATCTAAATTGAGCAAAAGTGCTATCGGTACTTATCTCACTTTGGGGGCAAATCGGAGATTTTCAAATCTCAAAATTATTCTTAATTGAGCAAAGTACTATCGGTACTTAGCTCACTTTGGGGGAAAATTGGAGATTTTTAAATCTCAAAATTATTCTTAATTGAGCAAAGTATTATCGATACTTAGCTCACTTTGGGGGAAAATCGGAGATTTTCAAATCTCAAAATTACTTTTAATAGAGCAATGTCGAAATTTTTTACAATTGTTCACACCACATATCTATTAGGTAAAAAACCTATGTGTTAAGTGAGAACACCGATTCCACTGATGTCCTCACTTGGGGGACTAGTTGTACGGGAGGGTGCCGACAAAAACACTAATTAGCCGATAATAACCTATTAATCAGCACGATCGCTCAACATCCATAACGACCTTTCTCTCGGCCACGTGGAGTGCTGCTCAAGACCACGTAGGCACCTGCTACCTACAAGGTCGGTTTGCCACCTATGCTGATAGGTGGCACCAGCTTGGTTGTTTTCCTATATGTACCCAATCACATTTTCATAATGAAGGTACAATCTCTCTCTATATACCCTCTCTCTCTCTCTCTCTCTCTCTCTCTCTCTCTCTCTCTCTCTCTCTCTCTCTCTCTCTCTCTTTATTCCTTCTTCTTCCCCAGATTACTAACTTTAGCATCGGAGTGGCTATTCCTGGATAACCCCCCGGGCTAGCTAATCTGTGTTGACTGTGTAGGCATTGAATTGGACGATAAACCTTTACCAACCCCAAGACATCACGGTATCGAAACTCACCCGGAACATATCCGATTTATATAGTGGTAGACTGGTAACTTATCAATTAACAATGAAGTTTTACTACATTTTAAAGGTTCAATGGCTATTGGCTCTACAATTTATTACCCAAGTTTCTGGCCAGGTAGAAAAGCGAAGGTGGGTGTGCAAGGTGGCTCCGATGCATCTACTGTGTTTATTAATTGTTAATGCTTTAAGTTTAAAGTAATTTGTAAGAGTTAGTAGAGCTCAATCTGCTCATCATAGTCACATTGAGTCATTGAGTATATGTGTAAGAGCTTTGAATCATCAAATGATCCTTAGGTTGTTGTGCTTGGTTTTCTCTTTTTGACTAATGATTAAAAAAACATGTTTCTACTATGGTCATCTTCAAAATGACCATGATTATTCTTAAATCTTGTTAGTTGATTTTTCCTTTTTTTTAAATACTTGGCCTTTTTATTTTTTCTATTTTAAATTCTTTTACTTTTTCCAAAATATAATTTTTAATATTTCGAAAATCTTTTTTTATTTTCATTAATATTTTATTAAAATCACTTTGAATGAAAAGATTAAATTAAGAAAATTAAAATCAAAATAGTGTTCATCATTCTTCAACGTTCTTCATTACTTTTCAATGTTCTTCATCCATGGATGAAATTAACCACCAATTTAAGATCTTTGTCACTTAAATTCACTTACACATCAACGGATGATGAACTTATGCCTTAATCACACATCATCTACAACTTTTTTATGTTTCCGAAAATCAGGGTTCGTGCGAATCCGAATTGTTTTTTAATCTTAGAATAATACATCTTAATTAGACAATCAATATCAATCAAGGGATGCAAAATTGATGATACATGTAATTGAAAATATTAAATTTTTATTTTTTTCGATAATTTGGGTATTTCAAACAATCTGGGAAGAAACCATGAAATATTTTCTTCAAAGCCCTATTTATTATAAAAAGTTTTATTGTTTATTCGTTTACGACCATAAAAAGTTTTGTAATCATATTGAACGCTATGATTATGACTTTTGTGATTATATTTAGTTATCATCAAATAATGTTCATTAGATTATCAAAGCAAATTCAATTTAACTATTAATAATTGATCTAATTATAATGAAAACTTTAACATGTTTATTATTAACAAAAGGTTATAACCGTATACATTATATGTCATTACGATATGAAACAATATATGCTAAGTTTATGTCATGAAGTATTTATTGTAAAATTTCAAATGTGATGCAACTAATTAAATATCAACGAACAACTGAAAAACGACTTATGAATTATTTATTTAATCTGGTACTAGCGTGATTTTTTAGAATTTTAAAAAAATACTATAATAATGTTTCCAAAAAATTAGCTAATCGACAATTATATATATATGGATAACTTAACAATTGATGTCTAAATGCTAATATTTGACAAAATATTGGTCGGCCAAACTTATGTTACATACAATCTTACAATATGTCAATTTAAAAAATCACACCTTAAATAAATTGAGTTATTATGCCAATTACTCGTCATCATCAGTTGTATTCCATATATATTGATTTATTTATTTTTGACAAAGGCAAAGGAGAAAAAACTAAGAAACATTCGACAAATTAAGACGACATCTTCTAGCCATGTCGTTAGCCCGTTTTACCTGTTCTCTAGGGACCTTTAGAATCGCACACTTAAGAAAAGAGGCCCCTAATTCCCTAATTTCCTTAATTATCCAACAAATCGAAACATCCTTACCAAGGTTATCTTGCAGATTGTTCAGAAGGGAATTAGAATTAGAAAGCAGGAGGATACCCTGTTTTCCCTGAGTTTTAGCCCATTTCAAAGCTTCAAGACATGCCCATGCTTCACATTGAACCACTGATGATGCCGAACCACAATTTCCCCATTCTTCCAACATGCTTGTCGGCCCATTCCTAACCACTGCCCATCCCACCCCGGCCCTCGAAGTCTTTTTATCCCATAATCCATCAGCTTCCATAATGAAGTTGTCAAAGACGTTCTTGTCTGTCCCCAACTGCACATGATTAAAACCTGGGGGAATGATTGGATCATTGCTCCTTAACTCCCTGTTAGGTTTGTCTTAATTGCACTTATGGGTGAAGACCTCGTGGTCTTGCATTGCTTGGTGAATGAATTCCGCAACCAAACTAGCAGTCCCATTAGCATTCTTGAAGCACCTCGCATTTCTAGATTTCCATAGACCCCAAAGGGTTTCTATGAACAAAGCATTACGAGTACTAAACTTACTATCCTCACTATGAAAGAGCAGGATATAGCTCTGGATCCACTTCCTCAAAGAGCTGGAACCAGTCGAATCATGGCTAATAGAAAGTGGGGAGTTTCCCCAGTCTTCCTTTGCCAGAGAACAATAACGGAAGAGGTGTTGGCTGTCTTCCGGATCAGAGCCACAGAAGTCACAAGTTTCATCAACCTGTAAACCTCTTCTTGCTAGGTTGACTTTGACAGCAATACTATCATGAAAGAGTCTCCATAGGAAGAGTTTCCATTTCAGTTGGATGTCTATTTTCCAAATAAGTTTTACGTACTCTTGGTCATTCAAAGAAAACGAGTCGGGATTTAACGTCGCATCCTTAAAAAGATAGTAGTATCTTGTTTTCACCGAGTATCTTCCTGAAGGGTGAAATTTCCAATAAGTGAAGTCATCCTCCTCCCTCTGCGGGAGTTCCATAGCCAAGATAGCCTTTGCACTATTCCACTCAAAACACCTTCTTACCTTTCTTGCATCCCACGATCCTTTGTTCCTATCAATGAAATCCTCTACTTTCCAACCTAGATCCGCTCCCAACGTCTGATAAGCATTTACCATTGGAATATGACCTTCCACCCAAGGCATACTGATGGCCTTAACTTCTTTCTCACTACCAATTTTCCAAGCGAAACCATCCTTGAATAGATGGGAAACTCTTTGAAAACTTGATCTTCCTAAGGAAGGATTCCCCATTCTTGCATACGGCCTAGCCATATTGCACACCCCACATGACTGTAACCCTCCATGGACCCTTGAAAGAAAAAGTTGAGGGTTGAGGTGCATCCTTGATGATTATTTGAAGAGGAGTGCATCATTGAGGACAGAAGTACCTCTAATCCCCAAGCCTCCCATGCTTTTGGGGGTTTGTATGATATCTCTACTAACCCAGTGCATACCTTTACAACCTTTGTTGGACCACCAAAACCTTGTGATGAGGGAATCAATCTTGTTGGCAATACCTTGTGGAAGTTTAAGACATTTCATAACATGTGCTCAGATACTTACTAGAACCGTGTTGATAAGAACCAGTTTTGCCGCTTGTGACAGATTGAGGGAAGCACAGGATACCAATTTATCAGACACTCTATCAACCAAGAATTGAAAGGCCAAACTCTTCTTCCCCTGTATATCAATCGGAGCCCCTAAATGGGTTCCCATATTATCTGTCTCTGGCATAGAGAGGATACTCTTCAATACTAACCTTTTGTTGTTGTCAAAACCCGGAGAGAACTTAATAAAGGATTTTTGAAGGTTCAATTGTTGCCCCGAAGCTTTACCAAATCGAAGGAGAATGACATTAATACATAAATATGACTCCTCGTCCGCCTTAAAGAACAACATAGCATCATCTGCAAAGAAGAGGTAGGAGATAGAAGGAGACCTTCTTGACACTTTCAAGCCTTTGAATTGGTTGATATCCTCTGCCAACGATAACATTATTGAATGGATATCCATACAGAATATGAAGAGGTATGGAGAAAGAGGATCACCTTGTCTTAGGCCACACTGAGGAACAAAGTGTCCCGAAGTTCTCCTGTTAATGACTGCTTTGAAGCTCACAGTTGAGATGCATTATGAAATCATCCTTATCCAATGACTGGAGAACCCATAAGCTTGTAAGATCTTTAGAAGAAATAACCAATCCACTCTATCATAGGCCTTCGACATATCAATCTTGATCGCAGTGAAATTCGACCCTTTTTTTGAATTAATCAAATGCATAAGCTCATGGCTCAGAAGAATGTTATCCTCCATGTACCTACTAGGTATGAAAGCATGCTGGTTTTCAGAGATGAGGCCTGGGAGAATATTCTTTAACCTGTTGACCATACACATGGAAATGCATTTATAAACTGTGTTGCATAAGCTGATGGGTCTAAACTGACCTTCACGTTCAGGAACCCTAACCTTCGAGATCAGAACTAAAAGAGTCTGGTTCCACTCTTTGAGCGTATTCCCTGTCCTTAAGAATTGTTGCACACTATCCACCACTAGCTCCTCTACATCTTCCCAGTAGGCCTGAAAGGAATCTGCAGTGAACCCATCCGTACCTGGAGATTTCAAACAGTGCATGTTGAACATTGCCTTTTTAACCTCTGCAGCAGAGAAAAGCCTGTCTAGTCTCATCCGTTCCTTATTCGAAATTTAGGGAATTTCAAGCTGTCGAATAAGAAGATCAATATCCTCCCCGTGACTCTCAGAATATACGATTGAAAACTTCCTTAAATGAGGCCAAAATTACATCCTCTACCTCCTTCTGCCCCTCCACCCAGTCATCTCTCGCATTTCTTAAAGTTAAATTTCATTGTGGGCTTGACGTTGCTTAACTTTCCTGTACATTGTAGGGGTAGGTAATTCTCCATACTTAACCTAGTTTTCCTTCATTCTTTGCTTCCACAAAATAAAGCAAAGTTGGCTTTCTTGCACAATAAGGTTAACCTGTTGAATATAGGCGTCCCCATCCTGTATTGACCTAATACTTGAAGTTGTATCCTATAGACCCTTAGTTACTTTCCTCCAATTGATCCCCCAAGTCTTTTTATTTTCCAAGAACCAAAACTGCAGTTTGGACCTTAAACTCTTAAGCTTCCTTGAAAGCTGAAACATTGAAGAACCTTGAACATTTTCTTTCCATTCCATTGCAACAATTGACTTAACCTCTGGAAAATTGAGACACCAATTTTCAAGCTGATAAGGCCTATTTGAAATAGGCTCTTTGGCTGTAGAGTAATAAGTAATAGCTGCATGATCCGAGCAAATGATTGGCTCATGAATTATCTTCCCATACGGGGAATGGTGGAACCAATATTCCGTGATGTAAGCCCGATCAAGCCTTTCTAGAATTAGGTCATTACCCTCCCTTTTGTTACTCCAAGTGAACCGGGGCCCGGCAAACGGCACTTCCAAAGCATTACTGCTAAACCTCCAATTAAGAAAAGCATCAAGTCCTCTAATTAAAGTCGAGCCCCCTAGATTGTCACTTCCACTCTCCACTTAGTTGAAATCCCCTATTACTAACACATTTTTGAACTCATTCAAGAACCATTGAAGTTGTTCCCAAATTAACTTCCTATTCTCTACTTGAGGCTCGCCATAAAGAAAAAGGACATACTTAAAGATTCCATTAGATTCAAAGATCTTACAAAGGATAAATTTTTTTGAAGAGTACAAGCAATCTACTACATCATTAGACCAACTTAAAACTAAAAGCCCCCCACTACTCCCATCCTAATCCCAACCAAAAGTGGATGTAGGAGCCAAAACACCTAAAACTGAAGCTGCTTTAACAAAAGCCATTTTAGTTTCTGAAACAAATATAAACAAAGGTAACTTAGATCGGTAGAGCTACACTAGGTAGGGAATTGTAAGAGAGTGTGGATCATTTAGACCCCTACAATTCCACGCCACAACCTTCATAGCTCTTTTGGGGGCTGATCTGGTACTGCCTCCTTACCCCTTGATGAAACCCTCATAGACTCAATAATGGACAATTGTAGATCGATGTCCATATCATCCCTTATCTCCCTAAAAACCGAAGTCACTTCTTCACTCTTTTTCCTCTTAAATGATTTAGATGACGAGGAAGAGAACCCTTGGTGCCTCTTGTTGCCTACCCGCTTCTTGATATCCTCATCAATTTCCACCCCAAACTCACGAGCCATATCCGGATCCGAAATTGCCTTAGAAGCAAAATTGTTCACACCATTTCTATCCTTGATCCAAATGCTAAACCCACCCTTCTCGGACCATCTATGAAGCCTTTTAAGCCTCTTGCGTTCCACCCATTCAAAGTCCGTCTCACTATAGCGAACCGAATCTCCATCCCATGAGAGTGGCATATCACCAACCGTCTCCCTAATCCTCTTCTTTGTGTTAGCACTGTCATCATAGTTAAACAATTCCGTGAAATTAAAAGAACTAAGATGTGATAAAGGAGTGTTAGGCGATATCGGAGTGTTAGGTGGATCAAACTCCGTGTGAGGTAGATTCGGCAATCCTCCCAAGTCGGCCGGAGATAGCCTCAAAATGTTGGGGTTTGGTGAGTCCGACTCACCGCGGAAACAACCCCGACCCAAGGAACCGTAATTAATGAAACGTTGGGGTTTGGTTGCTGCTGTGCGCGCAAGCCACGCACTTGGTGTGGGCTTGCTGTTGTGCGTGGCTGCTAGTGTGTGCGCTGCTAGCACGCCTTGCTGCTGCACGCACCACGTGCACGCGGCTGCTAGCTGCTGTGCGTGGCTGCTAGCACGGTGCGCTAGCACGCACCTAGCCAGCCATGCTAGGCTCGGCTTGGTGCGCTTTCTAGCCACCTATGCTTGGACATTTTTGTCCCTAGCATTCGAATGCTCGGGGCATTCCGATGCTAGGGGTATTTTAGGAATATGGTTGATTTATTATTATTTTGCGCGTCTCGTCTTTTTATTATTTTTGACTCGACTTCCGACGATCGGTTTCGACGCTCCAAGCTCGAATTACCGACGTCTAAATATTTAACACTCGGGCGACGATTTAATTTCTTCCGAATTAATCCGTCAAGTCGGTTCGTATATTTTGCTTGGGTGTGACCCGAAGGGTTCAGTCAAGATTAAGCTGTAATATTAATTATATTAATATTACTGATCGGAAGTGGCCTCCACCCAGGCATTCCGATCACTTGACCTTACTGAATATTTATTAGCTTTCTAATAATTATGAACCCGCTATCAGAATAATACACTTGTTCGAAGGACACCATTCCTTTCAATCTTCCACTTGTCCTTCCGGACAAGTGTGCATTTAGTGTATAGCCCCTTCCTATGTCTCTTCATGTCTCTTCATGAACTACAGAGTAAGATTACTCGTCATCTCTGTTACATCCAAAAGTGTTTCTCGAAATCCGAGTTTGACTGTCAATAAGCAGATGATTTCTAAAATCCATCTGAGCACGGCCATGCATTTTCACAGTCTTGCTCTTCGAGAGGCCTTGTAAACAACAAGACATGTTCCCTATTGTCAGTAGGGGGAAATTTCTAGTCTTGTAAAGTAGCTTCTCTTACTAAGAGGACCTAGCTGCCCGATATCTGTCGTTATAATCCCCAGTTACGGCAGACGTTTGGCGGATACCAAAGAGGAGTAGTACCCAAACAAGAGACCTCCCACTACTCATGGTCAAGGAAAAGAGTTCCGATAGTAATAATGAGAAAAATACTTATGACGATTTTTAAATCTCTTAAAGTATTCTCATAGGTCGATCCAGTATGGTTCTAAACCAATACCTGTGCAAATGATTTATATCCTCATAGCACAAGAAACGGTGCTATAAATCATACTACACTCTAATCTCTAATGGTCATTAATCGTCCACAAATATATGACCTTGATTAAGGATAATTTTCGATTAAAATATTCAATGTTCACTTAATAGGTGTTTCTTTATCCAAGCCATTGACTTGATACCCTATTTTGAATATTTATTAAAATCTAATGGACTCATTATTTAATTCTAAACCTCAATTAAATAGAGACGGAGTGAATTAAATTGCATGAAAAATTTTAATTACTCCAAAAACTGAATGGTTCATCATAGTGCTTTACATTAACATTGTCCAAAATTTAATTAAAATACTTTAATATGGAAATCAAAGCCAGTTCGCGACATGCTTGATTCCCATTGCCTCAATGTGTTTGTTGTGCTTCACTTGAGACAAAGGTTTAGTAAGTGGATCGGCTACATTGTTATACGTTCCCACTTTGCAAATTCAGATTTCACCTTCTGTCTTCCATTCTCGAATCATGTGAAATCGCCTCTTGACATGTTTGACCTTCTGATGTTCTCGTGGCTCTATAGCTTGAGCAATAGCTCCATTGTTGTCACAATGGAGGTCTATTGGACCCTTGATGGAGGGTACAACACCAAGTTCATCAATGAACTTGCGAATCCAAACTGCCTCCTTGGCTGCCTCAGATGCTGCCAAGTACTCGGCTTCAGTTGTAAAATCAGCGGTTGTGCTTTGCTTTGCACTCTTCCAACTAAACGTTCCTCCATTGAGACAGAATATGTATCCGGATTGTGATTTGGAGTTGACTCTGTCTGTCTGGAAGCTTGCGTCGGTATATCCCTCAACAACCAATTCATCTTTACCCCCATAGACCAAGAATTTATCCTTGTTCCTTTTTAGGTACTTCAGAATATTCTTGGCCGCAGTCCAATGCGCCTCTCCTGGGTCTGATTGGTATCGGCTCGTAGCACTCAAGGCATACGATACATCCGGCCTAGTACATATCATGGCATACATGATCGATCCAATAAGCGAAGCATATGGAATACGACTCATCCTTTCTCGCTCATCAGGTGTCTTTGGACACTGCTTCTTGCTTAAGGTTATGCCATGTGACATGGGTAGGTGCCCTCTCTTGGCTCCTTCCATTTGGAATCGAGCTAGTACCTTATCGATTTAAGTACCTTGACTCATTCCTCTCATCCTCTTTGATCTATCCCTATAGATCTTGATGCCTAGTATGTACTGAGCCTCTCCCAAGTCTTTCATTGGAAAACATTTCCCGAGCCAAGCCTTTACAGACTCTAACAACGGAATGCTATTTCCAATGAGCAAATTGTCATCGACATATAAGACTAGGAAGGCGATGTCACTCCCACTGACCTTCTTTTAAACACAAGACTCATCTGGATTCTTGATAAAAACCAAACTTACTGATGGCTTCATCAAATCGCAGATTCCAACTTCTGCTTGTTTGCTTTAATCCATAAATGGACTTCTTAAGCTTGCATACCTTCTTAGGATTGTTCTGGTCGATAAAACCTTCAGGCTGTGTCATGTACACAATTTCTTCCAAAATTCCATTGAGGAAGGCGGTTTTGACGTCCATCTGCCATATTTCATAATTGTAATATGCAGCAGTCGCTAGAAGAATTCGAACGAACTTAAGCATAGCTACTGGAGAAAAGGTTTCATCATAATCAACGCCGTGAATTTTCCTGTAACCTTTTGCTACCAGCCTTGCTTTGTAAATGAATACATTTCCATCTTTGTCGGTTTTCATCTTGAAAATCCATTTACATCCGATAGGTGTGTAACCTACGGGTAAATCAACCAAGTCCCATACTTGATTTTCAAACATGGAGTCCA